AGCTCCAGCCGTCAGCAGACAGGCCGCCCTGAGACCCCCTGAGCCCCCGTGGTGGATACGGCCCTGCCCACCAGACGGCCAGGACGCAGCGCCGTCCAGCTGTGGGGCCATTAGGCCAGCCTTGCTCACCAGGGGGAGATGAAACCAGAGTCCTGCACCCCCCAGACTCAGCCCACCCAGAGCAGACCAGACCCAGACGCCACCTCCCCCCCGGGACCAGCTGGGCCCCAGCCCTGCGCACTAGCAGCCAGCATGAGCTTCGGGATCCCCCAGGCCCCCACCTGACCGTCAGGAGCCGCCCCCCACCAGTGAGCCCCCACTCCAGGACCAGCTCCGCCTGCCTGTAGGGAGCACCACCACCCCAGGCCTGGCTTCCCCGCCAGTGGGTGGGCAAGGCCGAGTCTCCTGGGCCCGACTCTGCCCCCAGTGAGCCAGAACCAGCCGGGGCCCTAGGATTCTGGAAGCGGCCACCGCGTGACCAGACCCCGCTCGCCAGCAGCATCCACACACGGCAGGGCCGGGTCCCCCACCTGCCCGCCAGGGCCCCCATCAGCGCCCAGGGAGAGGGGACGCCCAGGACGCTCCCACCTCGCCCAGGTCGAGAAACGGAAAACGAATGGCAATGCCCCAGACTAGGAGCAGGACAGATCCCAGGAGCAGACCTGAGTGACACGGGCCGGGCCGCCCGAGTTCAGAGCGGTGACTGTGGGGTGACCCAGAACTCAGGGCAGAAAGATGCGCAGGGCGAGAAGTCAGAAGTTTCTAACAAAGGGAAGACACAAAGGACATGATAAATGAGAAAGTCCTGGGGGGAACCAACAGGAGACCGTGGGACCCAGAGGGACAATCAGCGAGCTGGAAGACAGAGTGGTGGGCATCACTGCCGTGGGACAGAGAAAGCAGGGAAGGAGACAAGAAATGAGGATGGTCTCGCGACAACGTCAAGGGCACTGATGCTCGCGTTAGGGGTGTCAGGAGGAGGAAGGGAGAGAAAGGGTCCGGGAATATATGGGAAGAGATAATAGATGGAAACCTCCCTAACGTGTGAAGGAGACGGTCACCCAAGTCCAGGAAGGATTGATCCGCAGAGGATCACGCCTGGACGCAGCCTACAACAGATCTGGCCGAGAAAAGACCCTCTCCACTTGGCTACCTTGCGTGATCCTTGTGGTCATGTGCGCTGTGAACTCGCCTTGTCCACACAGTGATGATAAAATCGAGCATTCCGCTGGCTTCCTGAGAAAGGCATGTGGGCGCGGGGCCCTCACTCAGCAACTGGAGCTCCGCGTGCTCCACTCGGACCTGCTGAGACCTTGGCTTCCTTGCTTAGAGACAAGAAAGGAATGTGGGAAAGACATTCATCAGAAAAGTGAACTAGGGAAATTTAGAACAGAGACAGGGAGGGTGGGATAGGAGGCCATTCCCCGCGGCACAGAGGGGCCGGTGCTGGGGGCTTCCACATCACTTGGCTTGATGACCTCACCATTCACACCTGTGAAATGGGCTCAGGGCCGCAGGGACCCACCCACTCCAGCACTCGGAACCTTGGACAACAGCCCCTAGATGCCTTTGAGGATGCCTCCCAGGGATCGGATGTCCCTGGTGGGAGGCTGGGACCTTCACGTCCCCTGTACCACGGGCGGCATCCCAGACGGACATCTGTCCCGCATATGTCAGCTGGAACCTCCCCGCCCTGTGGCCTTAGCAGAGTCTGTGTTTTCCCTGGTCTAATAACCTGACCGCCTTTAAAGAATTAACAAGCGCTGAATTTGAAGCGGGAAGGCTCTGCACTTAACAGAATTTTCCTTGATTGGGTTTGTAGGAGGTTTTTCTTTTTTACTAGTTTATTTTCAAAGAACCAGATCTGGTATTTATTTACTGCCACTGATTTTATGTTCTGTAATGTATTTATTTGCTTTTATCTTTATTATTTCCTTTCTCCCGTTTCCCTGGGGCTTGTTCTCTCCTTAAGGACCTGAGGTGGAAAGCGCGTCTGCTGTGTTCCGTGTCCCGAGCGGGTCTCTGACAGCAGAAGCATTGAGGGTCGTGGGGGGGCCTGGGGGGAGGGCGGTCCCAGAGGCTCTGATTCACGGGGCTGAGATGCCATTGTTTCCACAGCGTCTGCCGTGTGCTTGATTTCCCCCTTCACCTAGATGCTATCGATGACAGTAGTCTTAAATCTCCAATTTTCTATTTTTAGGAAGCATTTATTTCTAGTTTTATTATACTGTGGTTGGGACTTTTGTCTCTAAGAGATCTGTTCAGACATTTTTGACATTTGCACCCTGCCTACCAGGTCAGCTTTAAAGATGCTTTATGGACCCTCCGCGACCCTCAGCCTAGCAGCACATTCTCTGTCTGTTGGCCATAATGACGGATGTTTATGCATTAATTCTCTGCTCTAACCACACCGTTCACATCCTCTGTGCTTATTTTTTTTTCGTTGCATATTTCATAAAGGAGAATCAGTGAATTAAAATGTCTACCCAAACTAGATTCTTCCCCCTTTATTTTTAACATTAAAAATGTTAAAAGACTTTCCTGTTGGCTCAGTGGTTAAGAATCCACCTGTCAATGCAGGGGACATGGGTCTGATCCTTGGTCAGGGAAGATTCCATGTGCCACGGAATGACTGAGCCTGTGGGGCACAACTATGGATCCACAACCATGGGGCCCGTGTGCCAGAGCCCATGTGCCAGGGCCCGTGTGCCCAGAGCCAGTGTGCCCGAGCCCGTGTGCCAGGGTCCGTGTGCCAGAGCCTGTGTGCCCAGAGCCAGTGTGCCCAGAGTCCACGGGCCACAACGAGAGAAGCTACTGCCGTGAGAAGCCGGTGTCCACAAAGGAACAGCCCTGTCCTCGATCTCCACAATGAGAGAAAATGCGCAGCAACAAATAGGCAGCATGGCCGGAGATAAAATTAATAAATCTAAAAAAATGTTAGCAAAAGGAGAAACACCAGGATTCACTGAACTTTTTTGCGGGTCAGAGCAGGGAGTCCAGGCGGGACTGCTGGGTGCTCCCACCCTGCGCTCCCTGTGACTTCTCTGTGCCTCAGTCTACCCGTCTCTGAAGTGGGTCTAAGACCTCGGTGCGCAGAGCCGCCGTGCAGAGGGCCTGAGGCAGCAGGTGGAGAGAGGCGAGCAGATGCTGATGACCGAGCGACAGTGCGGCGTGTGTTGGGACGACGGGCTCTGTCCTCTCGGTCATCGGCCTCCTCGTCCGACAGACCCCAGACACGCGCCCACCAGCCTTGGCCCCGCGGCGCCTCCTGGCTCCCTGGCCTCTCTGATCTTCTGTCCCCGGCACTGGAGGCCCGGCCGCGTCCTTCTGTCCACCCCTGAGAGCTTGTTCATGTGCCCCCAAAGAAAGTGGGGGCAGGGTCAGCTGGCCCCCCACCCTGCATCTTCCGGACCTTCAAGTGACCTCCCCAGGCAGCTCCCGGCCCGCCCCCCGACCTGAGATGGGCTGTCCCGGGATGTGTCTCTGTCCTCCACACTCTCCTTCCTGCGAGGCTGTGCTGGTTCGGAGGTGTCCACCTCCCGCCAAGCCTCCAGGGGCTCGTCCATCTCAGCAGGAGCCGTCAGAGCGCCCAGGTTGCTCTGCTCGTTGCCTGCAGTCGTCGGGGCTGGCCGGTGCCTGCTGGATCTGCTGGCCTCCGGGGCTCCTCTGCTACCTGGACCAGCTTGAGGGGCAGCCCCTCCCTGTCCCTCCTCCCTCCCCACCCCCTTCTTGCCTTTCACAACAAACACTTGTAAGTGACCATCCTGTGCGGTCAGCCTGGAGGTACAGAGGGAAGCAGGTGGGGTCCGCTGAGCGACCACGCACCTCTGCAGGCCACACGCAGGGCAGACCCCGCAGGGGGGCAGGGTGTGCCCCCGCCCTTGCAGGTGCTATGGGAGTGGGAGCCATGAGCCCGCACCCCACCCCGAGCAGCTGACAGCTGCCGCCCACCACGCGGACTCCCCTTCGCCCCACGAGCCGGCAGGTCCACACCTGGGGCCACGCACAGCAGAAACGCCTTAGATGCCCACGAGCCTGGACGGGCCACGCCCGAGTACTGGCCACTGAGGGTGCGGATCCAAGCTCACGACGTCGGCCCTGATGGAGAGAAAGGCGCGTGCTGGGGCAGCCGTGCCCAGCCTCTCAGGCGTCAGGCACCAGGTTTCGGGGAAGGTTTTCCGTGGGACTGGGGGAGGGAGGTTTGGGGATGACTCGAGCATGTTGTGTCTACTGTGCACTTTATTTCTACCATCGTGACTTCAGCTCCACCTCAGATCAGCAGGCAGCAGGCCCCGGAGGCTGGGTATCCCTGCGCTGGAGGACTCAAGGTTCAAAGCCAGAACAAAGCCTCTCCGTTGTTGGACGTCAGGATGTGGTCACCTCTGGGGCGAGTGACCTCGGAGGTGCCTCTTCCGCGGGTCGCTTTGCATGGTGATCTCAGCCCTCAAACAGCAGGTGGAGGGCATCTCTAACATTACAGACCTGGGGGTCACGTCAGGGCCGATCCCTCACCCACCCTCAGAAAGACAATTGCAGGCAACTAAAGGCCACAGTGAGAAGCGTGTGAGCCCTGCCATGTGCCGGGTCTGAACCCCCTGACCCTACACAGGTCTGTGGGACTGAAGCTCGCTGGGCAGGGTGGCCTCCTGGGGTTGGGGGCTGGCTATAACTGCCAGGGGACCCACAGGTCCCCAAGCCCAGGACCTTCCCACCTGGGTGAGGGTGTGCGGGCACGCGGGACACCAGTGTCTCTGCCGCAGGCCTGCAGGGGCTCCCCATGCACCATCTTCCCGCCAGATCGTCCCCCGAGCCCCCTTGCCCCAGGGAATGTCTGCCCAGCCCCAGGTGCCTCCAAGGAGCCCCTCTGTGCCCGGCTTCGTCCTCCTGATGCTGGGGAGGCCCTGAAGGCGGGTGACACCCAGGGAAGTAAACTCCAGGCAGGCTGGGCCCGTCCCCAGGGACCCCAGGTCTGCAGTTGGGAACTCCGGGCTGAGCATATCTGGGGGGACAGGAGAGACAGCACAGAAGTCTGAGCGTCCATCTTCGGGTGACAAAGACGCAGGCTCTGGAGGAAGCAGGAGGGAGGGGTGTTCAGCCAGGGACCCCGAGAGTAGAGATCTCCAGGGTGGAGGCCCTGGGGTAGGGACGTCTCCACAAAGACGGGAAGGCAGGGGAAAGGCCTGGGGTGGGGGTGAGTGGCCGGAGTGGGTGGGTGAAGGCAGACAGGTTGGGGGTGATAACCGCAGGCGGCCCCCGGGGCAGACCTTGCCCTGCAGGACACCTGGGCCCATACCGTCACTTCACACGCAGAAGGGGAGGGGATGAGGAGGCCCAGAATCTCCTCCAGGCTCTGAGGGTCAGCGGGAGCCCAGCCGCTGTTCCCCAGACCCCCCCGGACCCCCGCCCTCCCACCCTGTCGGGGCCTCGGCCGCCTGGACGGGCTGATAGGCGCTGGCTCTGCACCTGTCAGGCTGTGTGGATGACTCCTTGCCTCTGATCCCCTCATCCTGCAGCTGGGACCAGGCGTGCTTCTTTGAGGCAAAGTAATTTATTTTCTAATTACAGACGGCACCGGGCCTGAACAAAGGGAAGCAGCTCAGTTTGACTCGGAGAGGTCTCTGCAGAGCTTTCCCACCCCTGCCCCCCGCCTGCACTGCTCGGAGGCCAAGGGCCCCATCTGGGGTCTAGGCACCCATCTGCGGGGTGGGGTGGGGGGCGTGTGGCTACAGGGCCCTTCCAGCTGGGGCATCTGTAATTCTCGCAGACTTCCTCCTCTTTCTCCTTTGATACTTTCAGATGCAACACAGCTCACACGCCTACCCCCAAGCGGGGGCCTTGGACAAGCACCCCTGCCAGGAGGCCCTGAAGCTGCCCCTTGATGAGACTGGTCGCCCAGGCAACACACATGTAATCAAAGCTGACACCCCAAACGGGCCGGTCAGTAGTTCCACTGGCCCACCCCGCCTGGTGGGGAGAGGTGTGTTTAGACGGCTTTCTCTTTTCTTGTCTCGCAGGCCCGAGGGCCCAGGGACATCCCTTCTCAGCTGCCCTCTGCCCTGACGCCTCCCCTTGGAAACGTCCTGGGGAACACTGGTGGGGACCGCCAGAGGCCTGCCCCCTGGCCTGGCGTCCACAGTCCCCAGGCTGCGGGCAGGGACCGCGCGGAGCCAGGACAGTCCGTGAGTACCTCGGCCTGGGGAGCATCGCGGTCCTCCAGGGCCAGACCCGGGTCTTCCGTGGCCGTGGAGCCCCCAAGGCAGTCCTTCCCCGGGTCCTCACTCCGCTGCTTCTCAGGGTCAGACCTGGACCCCCACCACTTGGGCATGGCTCCTTACGTCTGCCTTTCCAGCCCCAGTGGAGGCCCAGGACCCCAAGGCCTGGGACAGTCTCCCTGGGGACAGGACGCTGGTGAGAGCCTGGCCCAGCCCTGACCCTGCGTCTCAGGTGGACGCTCCCCATGGCTCTGGGCCTGAGGTTCCCATCTCAGCCTCTCACCTAGAGGCTCCTGGGCCCCCCCGACTGAGCTCAGCATCTCCACACCAGCTCCTCCTCTGCGCCCTCCCCTAGGGGGCCCAGCTAGCCCCGCCCCCGGAGGCCCCCTCCCCCACCTCCTCTGGGCTCCCCCACTTCACGTCTGCGTTTCCCTCCAGGACAGCAGCCCCTGGCTCCTGGCTCCTCCCCGGGGCCACCACACATCCTGGAAGCCCTAAGAGTGACCCCACTGCCCCGCTGAAGACCCCCCCGCTCCCCCGTCCTGCTTCATCTCCAGGGGGGACCCTGCAGGGACCCATCAGCAGAGGACAGCCTGCCTCCCCCCAGGCCCGCAGCCTCGAGCCCCCTCGGCCACCTGGAGCTCCTGGGGTGGCCCGAGCCCCGTCCTCCTCCCCACCATAGGCTCACAGACCCGCGTGGCCGGGAATCAGTCCTCGTTTGCAGGCAGCGGGGGACCCTGGCTGTAGAGTGGCCTCCCTGGAGGGCCCAGCTTTGCCCACCTGGAAGGGCCTGGCCGGCAGGCGGGCGGGTTCTGATCTCTTGGTGCCCTGGGATCGCAGCCGCGGCGAGCCGGCGGCAGGCTGGACTCCTTGGCTCTGAGAAGGCCACCCCGTGCCCCTCACCTCGGCTGGAGACCCCACCCCCTGCCTAATTAACGCCCGGAGCAGCCGTCTGCTTCCTCGCTCGTCTCATCTCCGACATTTTTCATGTCTAATCCACTGAGGAGATCTCCTGGAGGCTTTGAAGTCTCCGGGCGCACGAATAAAGATGTCACCCTGGCACACACGGAGCCTCTTAATGAGCACGGGTTTGATGTGAGGCTGTGGCCCGGGGGAAGCGGCCAGGCCTGCCTGCAGCGGGCGGGCGGGGGGCCCAGGCTGGAAGCCAGAGCAGGCTGGGGGGTCTGAGCCCCGCAGGCCCCCGAGGAGGGGGACCAGGGGGAGATGGAGGCTGGGGGAGGGAGTTAGGGCAGGTGGGATGCGGAGCATAGAATGTACCAGAATCTCCATGAGGAAATACCTGGCTTAACAAAGCATTTCCATATTACAGAATAATGCCATATTTGGGAAATGAAAGTATTTTTCCTGTATCCTGTAGAAAGGAAAGTAGAACTAAACAAATTCTCCAGGCAGCTGGGGCTGGGATTTAAGAAGACCGCAACAGGACTCCCCTGGTGGTCCAGAGGTCAAGGCTCTGCCTGCCAGTGCGGGGGACACGGGTTTGATCCCTGTCCAGGAAGATCCCACCGGCCTCAGAGCGACTGTGGAGCCTGTGTCCAGTCCAGAGCCCGAGCACTGCAACAAGCGGGGCCACCGCCATGAGAGACCAAGCGCGGCAAGCAGGGAGCAGCCCCCGCTCTCCGCAACCAGAGAAAACGGGTGCAGCCAAAACAAACGAATAAACTAAGAAAAGGCAGCAGGCAGCGGCCAGGGCCGGGGCCACTTTCTCCGGGCGTCCATGCGCTGCCCGGGGGAGGGCAGCACCCGACTTTTCAGGGCAGACACCTGGGCCTTTGTGGGGGGACCTGCTCCGGTCACACAGCGGTAGCCCGAGGCAGGCTGGGTAGGGGCGCAGACACTAGCCTTGCCCCTAACTCCACCCCAGAGGCTGCACTGGAAGGGTTACAGACAAGGATCCGAGGCTCACCCCCCAGCACCCTGCTCCCGGCATGTGGGGCAGCCCTGGGCCGCTGGACCAGCCCTGGGGCCAGTGGACGTCACACAGGTGATGGAGCTCTGGCTCCCCGTCCAGGTCTCAGGGGGCCTGTACCATCCACCGCGGCTCCTGCCCGGCCCAGCTGCCCCGGGGACAGGCCGGGCTGGCCTGCGGGGGACGAGACACGCGTGGCGGGCCCCGGCTGCGTCACCTGCTCTGTGGGCGAGTCCCCGCTCAAGCCGAGCAGCCGCCTGACCCGGCGAGATCAGCTGTGGGCTTTGCTCTCCAGACCTTTGCCCCGGGGTGTCTGTTAGGAGCTCTACTTGTGATAAGACGTGTGTGCCCGTGGCTCAGCGCCCGCCCCCCAGGGAACAAAGAAAGCGGGTCTCAGGGGCCGAGACGCCCCCGCCGTGTGAGCGCGCTGGGAACTCTGGACCCCAGGGCCCCGGAGGCTTCCCTCTCGCACACGGAGGAAGGCGCTCCTTCCCACCCAGCCTGCTGCTTGCTGCGCTCATGACTCCAAGGGTAACCCCCCCGCGGCCGCTCGAGGAGGCCCCAGCATCACCCTGGCGTCACCCCAAGGGCGCCCCGCACCCCTGATTCCACACTGGGAAGAGATCTTACTGGCTGTGGTTCTGCAGGTCAAGCCGGCCCCAGGGAGGCAGGTGGGCGCGAGCCTGGGACTGTACTGAGTAATTACAGGATTAGGTGTGCCCCTCGAAATTAAACGCTGCCTCTCTACCTCTAGAGCAGGATGCACCCCCACCGCCACCGTGTAATTATCTGGTGGATTACTCCACGGAGGTCTCCCGGTAATTACGCTGCAGTCAGGAGCCAGCAGCTCCTCTAGTCATTACGACCGAGGAATCCGCTCTCTTGCGAGGCTGCCGTGCGTTCTGGTGGTGCTGTCAGAGTTTGGGGACCCCCAGTGCCCTCCTTTCCGCGGCCTTAGAGGGCTCCCTGCAGGAGAGGGGACGCCCTTCCCAACCCCTCCCTCCAGGGGGATGGGCCCCCCGGACACTCAGGGTCACGCGCTCACACATCACCAGGGGCAGGAGGGTGTTGGGAGCAGGGGGTCTGGCCACTTGCAGTCTCTGTGCCCGCCCCCTGCCTCCGTTCCCCACCTGTGACACGGGGCGGCTCTCAGGACAAACCGCGCTAGAGCCCGGAGGGGCGTCTACAACACCCGGCAGGGAGTGGGTCCCAGGGCACGGGGGTCAGACCCCGGGTCCCTCTAGGGATCAGCTGGAGGCAGGTTCAGGCCAGGGCTGGGGACGGGGCGGGGGTTCGGGGTGCATCCGCAGAGGCGATCGGAGAGGCGAGAGGAGGGTGGGGGGTGACTATGCCGGGGTGGCCGCCCAGCCCGTGGCACCGTGGGGTTCCGTCCCCGAGGGGCGCTCCTGACCCGGGGGTGACCGAACCTGTCGGCCCGTCTGAGGTCGGGTCTGTCCCAGGGCTGGGACCCCAGCCAGCCCTGCAGTCAGGGACCCTCGAGGGCTGAGGGCTCCCTCTGGTGTCCTCTGAGCCCGGCCACCTCCTCCCTCACACCCCCCGCCCCGTCCTGGGGCCGTGGCTCCTGGCGTCCTCACCCCACCGCGGGCCCAGGGCTCTGGCCGGCCTGCCCCCTCCGCTGGTGTGGGGGCGGGGTCCCCCACGGCGGGCAGAGGACAGCGCTGCTCTGTGCCTCCCACCCCGGCCCCCGCCCTCCCTCTCCCCTCCCCTCACCTGTCAATCTCGCCGTTTCCTCTCCTGGTTCCCAGCTCGCCTGTGGTCCTGGAAGGCAATCTGAGCCTCCCCGCTGAGCCGCCTTCCTTTCAATCCGCTGTCTCCCCACCACTTCATCATTCCCGTCAGGAGAGGCCTGGGCTGAGCGAGGCAGCCGCTCCATTCAAGCCTGATACAAAGAATATTTTGATGTTTTCATTTCTTTCTAGTTCAATAATTCGAGAAAACACACAGATTTGGTGCTGGTTCCAACAGGCTCTCCAACTAGTTTTATAAAACTTCGCATGGTTAGGGAGTAAGCATGAGATGGGGTGTGACAGGCTGGGACCCTGGGGTGGAGGCGCTGCTCTGCCTGTGGGGGAGGCCTTATTCCAGCCTCAGACTCCCCCGTGCCCTGGGCTTGATCTATGTGCTCAGGCAAGCCAGCTGATCCTCTGTGCCTGGACAGTCCTGCCCAGGCTGGATCTCAGGGCCTCCCTGAGATCAGAGACCCAGAGGCAGAGACCCCAGCCCAGTGCAGCTGCACCGAGGAGCTATCCACGGTGCTGAATGGCCTGCCCGGGCCCTCCCTCCCACCCCACACGTGGGCCACCAATACCCGGCCTGGCTCAGGTGCTAACGTCCATCCCTCCATCCACTAGATACCGACTCAGACCCTCATGCAGGCCTTCCCTGTGCTGAGCACTCAGGACCTGTCTTCAGAAGTCAACGAAGGCCCCTGCCTGTTGGGAGTCACGGGCCCCAGGGGACCTTCTGTGGCCCCAGAGCAGGACGAGACCAGCTACAGTGGAGGAATGACTGGCCTACCCAGACTTGGGGGTCAGAGAGGGCTTCCTGGAGGAGGTGAGATCTCACCCGAGATCTAGCAGTCATCAGGATTTAGCCAAGGGAAGACTAAGACTGCCCAGAGTAGGGGTCAGTGCAGGGAGGTTCGAGAGTGCTGGCTCGGGGACCATTCGCATCTCCAGCTAGTGGTGCAACTTTAAAAGGCAAATTACAGTCCCTTTCTGTGTGTCTATTTTCCCACCTACAAAATATAACTGAATTCATTAATATTATACAGTTTTATAGGGTTGTTGTGAGGATTACATGCTTTTAATAAACGCCAAGTGCTGAGACCTATGACTGGAACACAGGCAATGTCTGACTGGTGCAAGGCTCAGGGCTGAGGGGACTCGGAGGCTGGGGACACAGGCCACGCGCTGTGGGCAGGGCCGAGGCTTCGGGGGTGGCAGGGAGCCACACTGGGGGTGTCCTTCTCTCTCAGGACAATCGGAGCTGTCAGAGGGGGGCTGTGGAGAGTAGGCTGTGTGTGTGTGATCGGCAGTTACAGAGGGTCATCCAGACAGGAGCAGCCATGCAGGACGACAGGCAGGAACTGCCTAAACCCACTCCCCCAAGCCAGCCACGGTGACGGGTGATGCTGGGACGCGCATGGCTGTGGCCATACATCTTTCAAAAGACGGTCTTTATTTTCCACGTCCTTTTTTCCCTAGTCCCTCTTCCCCCACAATAGACTTCTGGGAAGAAAACCCAGGTTAACAACCCAGCACGTATCCTTCCAAGCTTCCCTTTGTGTTAACAAAGTCCTACGCAGACAGACGCAGCTATAGGTATACACTCAGTGCGGTTCGGTCATTGTTTTATGAAAATGGATCGTATTATACCTACTTATCTTCAAATTGCTTTTCTCACTCGACAATACCGTATAGCAATCTCTCTAAGCTTATTGGTGGAGAGTTAATTAAATTTTTTATAGGTGGCCTCATATTCCTCGGAGTAGCTGCTCCGAGGCCCGCCTCCCCTTACCAAGTCAGGTCGCCTCCCAGGTTTCTGCCTGGGCTCCCCGAGCAGGATGCCCCGTTTCACACTGGCACCCTGGCCACCTGCTCTCTCCTCCCAGGCTGCTCCGCAGGGGAGATGGTCGGCAGGCTGGGCGGGGGTCGGGCGTGCACAGTGGACGTGGGGCCACCGGGCAGGCGGAGATCCATCCTGATCCGAGTGGCGGGGTCTGTGGGGCACAGGACCCCAGACCCTCCTCCCTCCTGGCGCCCTCTCCCGTCCCCTGCCTCTGTGTCCCCCGCGGACCCCTGCTTCTCCTCCACGGCTGTCAGGAGGGGCCCCCCGCTCCCGTGCCGCACAGCGGACCCCTAAGGACGCCGTAAGAGGACCGAGTCCCTGCCGGAGGCCGCATCCAGACACGGTCCCCACTGTCCCCACTGTCTGCCAGGCCCTGAAGCCTCTGCCCTTGCATCTCAGGGAGGTCCCGCCCACGGTTCCCCCACCCTGGTGGAGCTGAGAGTGGGCAGCATGGACAGGTGGGGCCCCCAGACCCCTGGAGGCCACTCCTCGGGCCCTGGAGAGCCACTCCAGGCCTGCCCCCCCCCCACCCCGGGTCAGCAGTTCTGGGGGGGCGGCTGCGACGCGGAGCAAGGACAGTCTTTCCGTGTCTGGTCTGGTGTGAACTCTGCCATTGCCTGGCTCTCACCCTACAGGGCATGAGGTTTCTGGTGATAACAGGGGCACAGAGGTCCCTTCTCAACAAACGTTTTAAGCCATGAAAAATCTTAAGGGCAATACCCACGGAGGGGCCAGAGGGCGCTGGCTGAAATACGAGGAGGGCGCTTTAGTTCACTCCAAGCTGGGCCAAACCCTCTCCCCGAGGCTGTTTAGAACGCTGCTGAATTGTGGGGCCTTCCCGTAGAAATCTAATTTTCTGGCTTCTTTAGAAAACTCTGAACACGTGGCAAAGCTGGGCATGGCTCCTCCGGGAGGGGCTGCAGGCCAGGAGCTGGGGGCCTCTGGTCCTTCCGGCTGTCCGGCGTCCGGCTGTCCGGCTGTCCGGCGTCCGGCTGTCCGGCTGTCCGGCTGTCTGGCGTCCGGCGTCCGGCTGTCCGGCGTCCGGCTGTCCGGCTGTCTGGCGTCCGGCTGTCCGGCTGTCCGGCTGTCCGGCTGTCCGGCTGGCTCCTCCGGGCGTTGGTCGCCTTCCGGGCGTCTGCGCTCGGCCCCACGGAGGCGGAGCGGCCTCGGGCGGCCCCCGCGTCTTCACCACGAGCCGGGGGCTTGGCCTGGGTCCGGGAGCGGCAGCCGCCCCGCTGCACTCTCTAGTCCTCACTGCCCCGTTGGCAGCGGCCGGCCTAGGCTGCGGCGGGCCGCCCTCGGGCGGGGCTGAGCGCGCTCTGCAGCGCGACCCTCCGGGGGCGGCAGGGGGCGCCCCTGCCCGCCGGAACGCGCTCCGCCGCGGGACATCCGCCAGGCGCGGCGACCGCGGCCGCGTGAGCCGGCCCAGGTGGGCGCAGCCAGGTGAGCGGGGCCCAGGTGAGCGGGGCCCAGGGGGCGCACGCTCGCCCAGCCCGCCGGCCCGGCTGCCCACTGTTCCCCCTGGGCTCCCTGCGCCTCGCCTCTCCGGCGCGTCCTTGGTCCTCCGACCCTGCCTCCCCAGCTGTCTGCCCTCCCCTCCCCGCTCCGTCCTGCTCTGCCGGCCTCCTGTCTGTCGTCCTGTCGGGGTCTCTGACTCAAATAGCGCTGGCACCAGGGGTCCCTGGGGGTACGCCCTGTGTGTCTCCGGTTGCCCTGAGGGCTCTTTAGCAGTGGCGGGGGTAGGGGTGGGGTGGGGCAGGAGGGCGTCAACCCCCACAAGCCCCATCACGGGCATCACAGCCCCCCAGTCGCCCTCTGGCTACCTGGGCGGTCTTCGGGCCTTCCTGGGCGTCCCTCTCCTCCCACTGGGTCCTGGAATCGCCTGGGACAGGGTGAGGGGCTGGGGGCAGGGGCAGGCGGGGCGCCCTCTGCTTGGCTGTAAGACGGCCTCCGCTGCGGCCTCCACACCCCTGCCCAAGGGCCTTTTGACCCCAGCCCTCCACCTGAACCGTCCAAGTGTGAGGCTTTTTCACCTCCGACCATCTAGAGTCCAGTGAAACGGACCTCGAATCCCACACTCCTGGGTCCTGTCTTTTGAAAGCGGGGGCCATCTCCGCTGCTCGGTGGGTGTCAGCTTGCCTGCTCCGTGAGTGAGCAAGATGGAGGCCCAGGACCCAAAGGAGCTAGGGCGGGCACGCCAGTGGGACCCAGCCTGGGTCCTCTGCACGACGCGGGGCGGCGGGAGGGGCCTGAGACACACTGGAGCCGCTCCCCACTGGCCCTGCAGGGTGCCACACCCCAGAGGCCTGCCTGCAGCTGGGGAAAGGTTGACACTGTCTGCTGGGGCCCTGGGGGACCCGATGCTAAGATGATGGAGCTGGAATTGCAAGGGGCTTATTACCAGGACCACCCGTGAGAGAGAAGCGGGGAGGGTGCAGGTCTGAGCCTTCTGCAAACAGAGAGGAGACAGGCTGTCGGAAGCGCCCTGGCCTGGAGCCTGGCTCCCAGAGGGTCTCCCTGCCCAGGAGCCCTTCCCACAGGCTGTCCATGGAGGTGCCGGCCTGGAGCCATGTGTGCTTGTCGGCCAAGGTCCGGCTGCCTTTCTGCGCAGCGGGCAGCCCTGGGCTGCCCTCACCACACGTCCACTCGTGAGGCCGCAACCCGGCCCGCACAGTCCAGCCTGGTGCTTGTGTTGGCAGATACAGGGTCAGAAACGAAGAGGGTCAGTAGGTCACTGGGGTGTCGGGCAAGGGCAGGGTCTCGCCGGGCTTTGAGCTGACAGCTGAGCTCAGATATGGCGCTCCGTCCACGCAGTGGCTTTCCTCCCAAGAGGCTGGGGGCACGTCCGGCAGCCCCGTCTGCCCCCTGGGCTCTGGCCCTGGGCACAGTCTTTGTGGTCGGCAGTTGGCACCTGCGTCTCAGCCCGGCTGCTGCAGATGGTGGCTCAGTGGGGCTGTGCCCACGTCCTGGTAACAGAGGGGCTGATCTCCAGCCTCAGAGGAGGGTCTCCGCAGGCCCCTTGTTCAGGACAAGGCCCCCTGGCAGGCGGCACTTGCCAGAGCTGTGGTCCTGCAGGGCAGACAGCACCCCAGATGGCCCGAGTGCTGATGCGTGGAAGGAACGCAGGGCTGTGCTCTCTGGATCAACCAGCTGCTGCATGGAGGCCGCATGACCACGGGCAGCCGCCTTGATCTGCCGCCTGGGTGTGGCGCCCTGCAGCAAGTCAAAACCTCTCTGGGACGCCCCCCTCCCGGGCTGCCTGTGTGGAGAGAGGAGCTGCTCCGAGACGAGCTCCTGGCTCTGATGCCAGCCTCACGCTGGTCTCTTGAATGTACACGTCAAGATTCTCTTTGTGACCACATCAGAGCGAATAGTAACACAGCAATTAACGCATCCCCCCACTCCCAACCAAGACTTGAGTCTTCACAAAGTTCCGCGAGCCTTTCATTTCGAATAGGTGGCTGTCAGGAGGACCCACACGGCTCCTCAAGAGACTCACAGACGTTGTAATTAAAGATGCCAGTCTTGGTGGTGAGAGTGGGGAGGGGGAGACCCAGGCCCAGGGGGATGGGAGCACAGCCAGCGAGGTGCCCGGGCACCGGGAGCCTGGTGTCAGCCTCACAGCCAGTTGACAAGGCGCTGTCATGACCTCTCGCAGGATCCCGCCGTCTTCCAGAAAGGCCCGTTTCACTCATCCCATTTCGCAGGTGGGAAAACCAAGACCGAGGCTCAGAGCCCTTATCTGGGCTACAAGCTGATCCTCTGCTGCAGACTGATCATCCCTCTGACAGGCTGAGCCCAGCGACACAGCTGGCAGTGCAGCCCCCGGCCAGAGGTGGGTGGACTGCGGGGGTGCAGGTGACCCAGAGCGAGCCCCCCTCCGCCAGCGGCAGAGCAGAGACCTCCCAGCCACTGGCCGTGGGCCGCGGGGAGGAGGCCCTGAGGGGTGGCTGGGGGACCCCGGCCCATCCAGGCCCAACCCAGAGAATGGGTGTGTGACCTGGGCTGGGGGGCACCGCTCCTAACGGCTCTTGAGTGTCCAGGGGCACACAGCGCAGTGGGCAGGGAGCAGCCTCCTCTCTGATGCTTCTCCTCTTGGACACAGTCGCCTCTGGCCACATCGGGTGGGGCTGGGTGGACCTGCCATCCCTGAGGGGCTGGCCAGGCAAGCGCCTGGTCTGGCCTGGGCTCCTGGCATGACCTCACTGGCACCCCGCAATTCCTGGATGAGGAGCCGGATCCTGTGGCCCAGAGAGCTGGGCACAGATGGGCTTCGTCCTCATCCCTCTGCCGTTGGCTGGCCGGCGTCCCCCTCCCCCTCATGGGCTCCCCTCTGACAGGCACCTCATTAGCAGAATCTCTGTAAATAACGTCAGCCTGTTAGAGCTATGACAAGGTAGCTCGTTAAAGCTCTCTGCTCGTCTCCCTTCCCAATTAGTGTGTTCACGATGCCCGCACTGTGCGTGACAGGGCATCTTGGCAAGTGGCGCGGCCAAGGCAGCCCCATCACCCGGGGGCAGTGTCTGCAGCCCCGGGACTTGAAGAGACTGCATCCTCCTCCCCGTCCTGCAGCCGGCAGGGGAGGGGTCGGCCTCTAAGAGACATGCGGGGGTGCAGGTGCCAGTGCTGGGGCGGGGGGCACAGGGCATAGCCAGCCTAGTGCCCCGCAGCGGGCTCACACGCTGCTTGTGTCCGCGCTGGGCACGCTACAGACCATTTGCCCGCATTCAAGGACCAGATTGCCACTTCGGATTGCCCTGAGAAAGCTTACCTGTCCCGTGTCCCTTCTCCTCAAAGTCTCCCGCTTAATTCCTTTCATGGGACCTCAGACTTCGCACGGCAGCTTCTGGGGACAGCGTTCTTCTTGTGGGTGCTGAATGTCACAGGTGACGACAACGGAGGGGACTTCAGGCTGGAAAGGAGAAGAGCGAGCTGGAGGAGGTTGTGCAGGAAGGGGTGATCATGTTCCCAGGACTAGCCTTACCAGGTTGCAGCTTTTCTTAACTTCTTTTTTTAACACATGAAGAATCAGAGAGGCTCAGCCCCTTGCTCCAGCTCACACAGCTGGTGGTCTAGAGCTGGGATCTGACCACCGGAGTGTGGCTTACCTGTGCCAGCAGGTTCGAGGTAACAGAGACCCTCCAGGGAGGCCTCCCTTTGCCCCTTGGGAGGCGAGCACAGCTGACCCCGCTCCATCCTCTCCTCTGAGAGGTTTCGCTACACCTGACCACACTTCCTTCTGCTTCACTTGGGGAAGGAAACTGCTCCCAATTTCTTTCCCTCTTGCTGAATCGATAGCTTAGCTGGGCAAGGCAGAAAATGAAATTTACATTCAATGGTTTCCATGGCAACCACAGAGCTGGACCAGCTTCTCTCGCTCTTGGGGCACCGTGTTCTTCGAGGAGACAGGTACATTGAAGCCTCGACTCCAGAGAAGGTGGCAGGGGGTTAAATAGAACGGAAGGGGCATGGGCCCCTCGACCAGCCCCTCCTCTGGCTGTGAGTTCTGTGGGGTGAGAGGAGCCCTCTTTTTTTCTGAGGTAGCAGGGGAGCAGACTGTTTGCACCACATCCCCAGCATCACCACGGCTCACATTTCTAAAGCTATGCTCGTGCCAGGCTTTGTGCTCAGTGCTGAAGCACTGCTTCCTTCCATCTTTGCTTCGGTCCTAGGTTATCCCACTTCAGAGACGAGGGAGTCTTGTAAGCCTGGCTCAGTGGCCCAGAGGGTAACAGCCCCGAAATGGGGCCCACATCTGCTTGACCGCGGGACTGTGGTCTTAGGCATTCCACGACAGGAGGAGGCATTTGGAGCTCACCCCAGGAAGCACGGGAGGCAGCTCCCTTTCTGCACCACTTCCCCGTCACCCCCACCCCCCCAACGATCTAAGAGAGGACTGCAGCACCCAGGCCCGGAGCGCTGGAACGCAGCCTGGCAGCCCGGCTGTCCTCGCACGTCTAGTCAAGGCCTGGCCCTCAGCCCTGAATGAGGGATTACAGTGTCTGCTTCCTGGGGTGTTGATTGATTAAATGAGAGGAAACCCTGAAAGCACTTGGGGTGCACCCGGCCAGGGGCGTCCTCAGTGTCAGTAACTGTCACAGTTGCCGCTGGGGCGGGAGGCAGGGAGGTGATCAGCGGAGCTTCCTGCAGGAGGCAGGCGCCGGGCCGAGCCTGGCCAGGAGGAGGGAGGGCGTCCCCTCAGCACCTGCTCCCGCCCCAGCTCCCCTCTCAGAAACCTTCTCCTCCCTCCTCGGTCTGTGCGCTTCCCCGGGGCTGACTCTGCCCACGCCGATCCTAGGTGTGGGCACACGACTCAGTCCCAGCCAGTGTGCTTAGTTGCTCCGTCGTGTCTGACTCTTTGCCACCCCATGGACTGTAGCCTGCCAGGCAAGAATACTGGAGGGGTTGCCATTCCTTTCTCCAGGGGATCTTCCCGATCCAGGGATCGAACCCACGTCTCCTGCGTTGCGGGCAGATTCTTCACCATCTGGGCCGCCAGGGAAGCCCAGTCGAGGTCAGCGTGTCCCAGCGGAACTGACCGGCTGGGAGGTGGGCACGCAGCTGCAGCAGAACCACTCAGTTGAGGTGTGCATGACCGGAGGGCCCCGCGGGGCTGGCGGCGCTGAGGCCTGAGGCTGCATGACCGGAGGGCCCCGCGGGGCTGGCGGTGCTGAGGCCTGAGGCTGCATGACCGGAGGGCCCCGCGGGGCTGGCGGTGCTGAGGCCTGAGGCTGCATGACCGGAGGGCCCCGCGGGGCTGGCGGTGCTGAGGCCTGAGGCTGCCCGCCGGGGACTAAGGCCAGCGCAGAGCCAGGCGTAGCTCTGAGCAGCAAGAGGCGGATTCCTGGCAGTGTTCCTGGATCCAGCTGTGCCTGAAGCCCCAAGGCTCTTCTGGTACAGGAGCCAGTAGCTCTCCTTCCCTTTATTTAGGCCTGTGCGAGCTAGGATCATGCCTTCTGAACCACAAGAGCCTCCAAAGGAGTGATGGCATTGGGCTGAGCAGATGCCAGCCACCAGGTCACAGGGTCCTAAGTGCCTTCCTGGGGAACTCAGACTGAGAACTCAGGCAGAGAACCGCTAGGATCAGTCTGGGCTCCTGAAAGACCCTCCGAGGCGTTATCCTGTCCGGGGCGCGCAGTGGCCTGGTTGACAAATGCTGATTTAACCTGCCGAGGGGCGTCACAGGCAGCAAATGAGATCACAGCACACACTGCCCGAATGTGTACTTACACGATCTGAAATTCAGATTTAAGTGGACTCCTGTATCTGTCTGACAGCCCTGACCACCCCCCATTGGTGGGCAGGTGGGTTTCCCCGTCCTTCCCATTACAAACAGCACAAACAGTGGAAGTCGATGTCTCGTGTCTCAAGGACGACCACAGGGTGAGCTCCTCAAAGTGGATTACTGGTCCCTGATGGAACTTGTAATTTTGCTGGATTCTGTCAGCTTCCTTTCATTAGGGTGGTGTCAGTCTACACCCCCACCAGCGACGTGTCAGCATGCTTGTTCCCCCACAGCTTTGCCCATAGACAGAATCACCAAACTGTGGGATTCTTGCCATTTTGTCTGGTGGGAAATGGGGAACAGAAAACTTTCAAAACACTGTGAACAGATTCAGGTGGAAAATGCAAATAAGGAAACCACTGGATTCAGCTTCTGGCAGACCACTTTGCTGTGGCCACTCTACGCCTGTTTGCGCCAGCGTTCTCCACAGCTGTGTGAAGTGACACTTCTAGCCCAGAGAGGTTAAGTAACCTGCCCAAAGTCACACAGCTGGTGAATGTGGAAGCAAGTCTGATAGGAACAGAGTAAAGGGACACTGCAGGTGATTAAATAATTAATCCCACAAGGAGACTGTAAGCAGAAAAAATATGGGACATCCTTGTAAGTTAATGCTGACTCAGGAAAGCAGGTTTGACTACAAAAACCGAGCGGACCTGCTTAGAAGCAAAACCATGCAGCATAAGCAGGAGACGTGCCCCCCAAACAACAGAACATCGGTGGCCAGAGACCCACAGCCTGTCCAGTAAGCTCCGTAAGTTAACGACCCCTAGGACAGAAGGGTGTTCGCCGTACAGAGACTTGGAATGATTTGTTACCATCCTGGCTTGACCACGTCAGGACAAAAACCCCCACCCAACCTGGAGGAGGGGCTGGTGATGGAAGCATGGCTTCTACTCAAGAATGAGGAGGAAGGTGGTCTTCCCCCTCCCCACTTTTCCTTTGATTATACAACGGTAGCCCATTAAGTTCTTGGGGTGTGTCACCCTCTTGTCTGCCCACTTGAGAAGCTCAGACGCGTCCTTTCTAATACATCACTTCTTATCTATGACTGCCTCTCGATGAGTTCTTTCTGCAGTGAGACGTAGGGGAATGGAGCTCGTCAGAGCCCTCTCAAAACGCCAGCCAGCAGTTTCGTCCATGATCTTCCAACCACACTCCCAGGCAGTCACGCTGAGGTGGACCCGGGCAGGCGTGGCAAGCCCATCCTCTGCTCCCGAGTCTCTCCTGAAACTCCAGCTCGCCATGTTATCCATCACCCGTCCGGCTGGGCCACGTGTCTGACACCCATGGCGTCAGTCTCGGCTCTGGCCCAAGAGGGAGTTAGGGGCCTTGTTGAAGGCTGGACCGTCTTGTTTGACTCAGCTAATTGGTTAAATGGATTCTTCCACATGTGCAGTGCTGAGCTTTCTGCTTCCATAAGGCATAATATTAATTTTAATTAAATCTCTGAAAGCTTGGCCAAATATTTCCATTTTCCGAGCATGTCCCTTGATCATAGAGTTCCTGTTCCCGAGATGAGACCGACGGGAACAGTGGCCCTCCCTTCTCCTCTGCCTTCTGCTCTGACACTGGGGAAATGAGCCGGCCGTGACGAGGGGAAACTGACCACATGCGGGGCCCTTCACCTGTGTCCTGGCCCCACACCAGGGCGGGGGGCAGGGGTGCACTCGGGACTGAGCCCAGACCCGCGGCTGGGGGAGGCTCCAGCCGTCCAACCTCACCAGTGAGACAAGATCTGCTGTCCACCACCCACAGCCTCTCTGCCGGGACCCATCTGATGGAGAGATGCCCACATGCGTGGGAGGACCCTGAGATGAACCAAACACGGACTCAGAGCCAGGCAGAGCAGATGCCTGGCTGAGGAGGCCTGGAAGATGAGCCCATACCCGTGACTCAGGCCATCACGAGGGCCTGACTGTCTGAGTGGCCCCGTCCGTCTGTCCAGACGGACCCGTCCTCCTAATACACGCTGCGCTTGCTCCACTACTTTCTGTCTCTATGTGGAAACTCAGGTCTGCGCCGCTGATGGGCCAGGGCTTCGTCCTGCTCGCTGGCCTGACGGTCTGGTGGCTGCGATCCAGCGCCCTGCTGCCGTGGAGCTTGGGCTCTGGCTGGGAACCGAGACTCTGCTTCGAGCCGTGGTGGGTCAAGGCTCAGCCCCACGGCGGGGCAGTGAACACACACACACTCAGAGCCCGTGCAGCCGCGTCTGCGCAGAGCTGTAGGACGGGTCCAGGGCGGCAGGCTCAGAAAACTGGCAGGGACAGACTGCTCTGGGGGTGTCCCTTCCTGGCAGGAAGGGACCTGAGTTTTCTATATGAAATGAGCAAAACAAGTAGTCGTGTTACTGTTTAAAAATTAACTCTCGGGGGCTTAGCGTCCACCTGGAAAGCAGGAGACGGGGGTTCTGCCCCTGGTTCAGGAAGACACCACGTGTCACGGAGCAAGTGAGCCTCCGCATCACAGCCAGGGAAGCGTGTGAGCCCCGGGCCCACGCCCTGAGACAGGAGAAGCCCCTGCTCACCACACCTAGAAGAAGCCCTCAGCAACAAAGACACAGCACGGCCAAAAACCAATCAGTTATATGACTTCCCTGACGGTCCCGGGGTTCAGGCTTCGCCTTCCAG